TGATTCATAAATAATAGCAAGGTATTTTGTACAGTCTAATATTGTCAGAAGTTAAAACATGAACCAAAATGTCTGTTCCTATACAAATTTACAATGATTCTATTGTCAGAGTTCAAACTGCAGTTTAGCAGTGCTTTACACACCTAAGACAGTGCAAAGGACATTTCTCTATCTCAGTATCTATTAACCTGTTCAGTTGAGGACCTGTGGGAGTACAATATAATGAAGGAAGGCCACATGCAGAAATGTACTCAAAATGGAATACAGACTTGAGTGGAAGAACTGAAACTAAAATTCTTAGAAGAAAACATAGGAATGCATCTTCATAACTTGGCTTGAACAGTAATTTCGGCAACACTGGAAGCACAAGCAACTAAAGAAGATGTAATAAATGCAACTTTATGGGAATTAAAAAGTTTGTGCTTCAAAAGGGTAGCATCAAAAAAGTGAGAAAAAACCCACAGAATGGCACAGAATTTTTGCAGGACATATGTCTGATAAGGCACATGTATCCATATTGATAAGAACTCTACAGCTCAACAATGGAAAGAAAACTCAGCTTGTCCAAAAAGATATACAATTGGCCATTAGGCACGTGGAAAGTTCCCAGTGTCATTTCTTGGTAAGGACATCAAAACTGTGATGCTCTTCTCTTTCATATCTATCAGGATGGCTAAAAAAACCCAGTCAGTCACAAATCTCTTCACTGATGTGGAAAACTTAGAACCCCCATAAATTGCTGGAGTGATTGTAAAAGCAGTTGCTTTGGAAAATAGCCTGGCAGTTCTTCAAAAGGTTAACATAGAGTCAAATTATGACCCAGCAACTCTCCTAGGTGTGTACTCAAGAGGATTGAAAATACATGTCCGTACAAAAATGTTCCTTGAGTCTTCATAGCAATATAATTCATAACATCCACAGGTGGAAAAAACTCAGATGTCCATCAGCAGATGAATGAACAAACAAGACAGAGTCCATCCTACACTTGAATATCATTTGCTCCTGAGTGAGAATGAAGTTCTGATACAGGCTATAGCATTCACAGACCTTCAGAGCACCATTCTCAGCATTGGTTTGAAACTTCCAGAATAGGCAGAACTGCAGACAGGAGACACATCAGTGGTTTCCAGTTGCTTCTCTAGCACCTTCCCCCAAAGTCAATTTTATGATATAGGTTCACAAAAGTGTTAAACATCAGTATTCACACTAAAACATACACTTAAAAATGGCCGAGATAGCACATTCATGTGTATTTTACTTTACTTCTAACACCACAACAACTAAAAAGTTGGAAAGAAAAAAGTTAGTATTAAAAGTTGAATATTGGTAGTTGATTTTGTTTTGTTGAGGCATTGTGCCACTATGTTGCCCAGACTGGCCTTGAACCACTGAGCTCAGGCAGTCCTCCTGCTTCTGTGTCACCTCCCCAGGCTTGGAACCCCTTCAATCAGATGACATCATCTCCCCCAGAAAGAATTGCGTTCTTCTTGTCATTAGAGCCGTATAACACAGTGGGAAAGAGTTTTTATAAATTTTTATAAATTTATAAAATTTTTATAAATTTCTGGAACTTACGTAGTTTCTTTCTTTCTTTCTTTCTCTTTCTTTTTCCTCCTCCTCCTCCTCCTCCTCTTCTCCTCCTCCTCCTGTATGTCCTTCCCTACCACTTTGGCCTTGAGGTACCTGCAGTGCTTACAGAAAGGGCCTGCTGGTCCTGCGTTAGTTAGCACACTGTTTCAGAGTTCTGCTTGGATTCCTACTCACCACTTTGTTAGCTCAAACTTCTCTTTCTTTGAGACTGTGCATGTTAGAAGAGGGGAAGTGGATGGAAAACTAAGGAAATTGTTGAACTCCAAATAAATTTGTCACACAAAAGAGGAGGGGGAAACATTAGCAAAAGCAATTGCAGTTAGTGACCTTCCTCCCACAGGAAGCCTGTGCCAACACCAAGGCCAAGAGGAGGCCACAGCGCTGAGGCATTTGTTTCCTCAGTGGTTCTGCGGAGGGCTGTGATTGCTGCAGCCGCAGTCACACTGTGCCTGTTGGCATGTCTGTCTTTTCCCCACTAGACTCTGCCTCTGGCAAGTCGTACTCATTGTTGGACTTTACCTGACTCTCATCTGGTTTCTGGGTGAATGGGGAATGTTTCCAAGTGTAAACAAAGGGTCCCCAGACAGGAAATGAATGTAGTAATGCCAGATACCTGTTATGGTGAAAATCTGAAGCAGTGCTTCTCTTTTCTTTTGTTTTAGAAGTTTTCTATTTAAGACAACAGTAAACCTTTTTGACCATTAAGAGCATATGACTCGAGGCTGGGGATGTGGCTCAAGGGGTAACATGCTCGCCTGGCATGTGCAGGGCGCTGGGTTGGATCCTCAGCACCACATAAAATTAAAATAAAGATGTTGTGTCTACTGAAAAAAAAATATTTAAAAAATTCTCTCTCTCTCTCTCTCTCTCTCTCTCTCTCTCTCTCTCTCACTCTCAAAAAAATAGAGCATATGACTCTATTTTTTAAAAATTTGGGAAATAAAAATTTGGCCAGGTATCGTAATGTTTATCTATAATCCCAGTGACTCTGAAGGCTGAGGCAGGAGGATTACAATTTCAAGACCAGCCTGAGCAACTTAACAAGACCCTGTCTCAAAAAGAATAAGGTGTGTGTGGCTCAGTGGTAGAGCACACCAGGGTTCAATCCTCAGCACTCCAAAGAGAGGGAGGGAGGGAGGGAGAGAGAGAGAGAGAGAGAGAGAGAGAGAGAGAGAGAGAGAGAGAGAGAGCACTGAATGGCCTACCCTCACCAAGAGAAAAGCTCCTTGGTAATCTCTTGATGACATTTTTCTCAGACATTTTAATGCACATAAGTGTGTGTGTTTTTAACCAAAAATGAGATTATATTGTTGTATAGATTACTTCTCTTACATTGTCAGGGAGCTTTCTGTTTCAATAAATACATTTCATAATTCCATTTTAGTGTCTGTAATACCATTGCATGAATCATGACTTATTTAACCATGCCCTGTCATTTGACACTTAGGTTGTCTCTACATGTTTGCCATTATTGACAGCAGTACAGTTAACATCATTATAGCTAAATATTTGCACACTTAATGATTATTTCTCTAGGATAAATTCCTAGAAGTAGAATTATTGGATCAAAATTACATGCACATGTTTAAGGTGCTTGATATGTATTGACAAAATGAGCTCCAAAAGGACAGCATGCCCATCAGAATTCTGAAAGTCTATTTGTATTTATAACACAAGTATGCTAGGATCAGTGAGTGTCCGTTACCCGTGTTGAGTTATGACATACAACAATAGAGAAATATGTTTGTAAGTATTCAGTAAGGAGAAGCCAGGTGTAGCAGGCCAGACAAAATGAGTGGTATTTTCAATAATTTACAAATAATTTTCCTGTGTTTGTTCTTTTATATATTATGAACGACGGGAAGTTACACCTTTCTCTGCCTTTAAGAAGCTGTGTGTGGACCCTGTTGGGGTTCTGTGTGCTCCTGTACAGGAGGAGCTCTGCCTCTAGGAGGAATCGTTGCCGAGGAGCAGCAGGCCCAGATGTGGTCCAGCTAGTAAACTTATGTTCAATGAGTGGAAACATCAAGAGTTCTTGTTTGGCCTAAAGTATATTTTTCCTGGGAAAAGGGAAATAAAACCTTTCAGCCAAAGAATGTTTTTCAAGTTCATGAGCTCTGAATCCATGCCCAAAAACCTGCTTACAAAGCGTGCTGTTCATGATGAGTACAGGGGAAGCTCTTTCTCTGTCTTTCTCGTAGCATAAAAATGAGACTTCATAGATGGGATTGAAGGAAAAATGGGGCTAGGCGGTTGGTGGGGTGTGATTCGATCTTAGAAGATCTCTAAACACGCTGTTGTGGTGCCTTGCCTCCTCTTCCATCTCTGCACTCGCCTGGCTCTTTCCCCAGGGCCTCCTGCCCCCAGGGCCTCTTCCAGGTTGTGGCTTTCCATTGCCTTTCTGTCTGGTCTGTCTGTCCCTTTCTCTCTCTCTTTCCTTCAACATCTTCCTTCCTTCCTTCCTTCCTTCCTTCCTTCCTTCCTTCCTTCCTTCCTTCCTTCCTTCCTT